GATAGATAGATAGATAGATAGATAGATAGATAGATAATGGATGGATGATAGATAGATGGATAGATGGATAGATGATGGATAGATGGATAGATGGATAGATAGATAGATAGATAGATAGATAGATAGACAGACAGACAGACAGACAGACAGACAGATATTCGCATTTAAGGGACCTGGAACGTGTATGGCTTAACAGAAAACCAGCCGACAAGAGCCACTGAGGCCTAAAGGCAAAGCCTTATTCAGGGTAGAACTGCTTGGTGTTCCCAAGAGAAGAAAAGACAGCACCGCCGAAAAGAAGTCTGGGATTTGATCGTATGCTTTCAGTTAGGAGGGGGTGTGGTAGGATTGTGTTAAGGGACAAGGGATTGGAGTTCTGGCTGTTAGGACAGCGGGTTGTAGCCAAGCCTTTCTCCTGAGAAAGGGAATAGGCAGACTTCTGAGAAGTGTAAACTGTTCACTTTCCATTTCTCCTACAGGGCTGGGTCCGACACGGGTCATCCATCTTGGTGTCTTAGCTGACTCTCTCTTGGGCCAAAGATCTGGGTTACCCAACATAAAGTTTTCTGATTTGTGGGGGAAAGCTTGATCTCTGTGTTCTTCCATTTTAGGAGCCATATATGCAATTAACTCTTTGATGTTCTTCTGTTAGGGCCTAGACAGCAGGTGTCCCCCAGCTCTGAAACCACAGGCAGAAATGCTGGCTACACACCTTGCTGACTTTTTTTTTAGTTTGTTGGGATATATATTATATAATAGCAAGCTCCTGAATTTTCACATGTGTTTAAGTAAAGCTTTTGCAGATGGATGTTTTTTATTGTAAAACGTGTTCTTTCAGGTAAAACTTAATTTAACAGTTGACTTTGTTGTGCCTGGAATGATAAACCCATGGCACAGAAATGAAAGCATTTAGCAGATTAGACGTCTTAAGAAATAATCGAAACCATGGCTAAGATCATGCAAAGTCTCTTATCAGTTTCACATCTGATGCATCCTTTATTCGAGGACAGCATATTAAAGGGACATTGAAATAGCTGGATATCTTACTGTGTCCACACCATGGCATTGGCCAGGTGCTGCAGCCCTCTGAAACGATGTACCTTCTTCCTTGGAGGAAACATGTGCTGTTTAAAGGAAGAACCAGCCGTGTGTGGTGTTTTTCAGTTGATAATGCTGAGGCATGGGGCAGGGATTTCCAAGCCTCAGACACTATGAGTCAAGTCAGAGGCAGGGCGTTTTCCCCTGGCCCTGGTTCCTACATTTCCCCCAGTTTGTTCTTTTTTTTAACTTTTAGAGGTCAAGGAAGAGGGCAACATTATCATTAAACTACTTCCTGCTGTATGAGGGTGCTGAAGTCCATGGGAGCAAGCTTGATCTTCATTGTCAGGGCACAATTGGGGGTGTCATAGGCCTCTGGTCCTGTAGTCAGGGGCTGATGTTCCTGTAATAGCAACTGATAAAAGCTTTGGTTAGAAATCCTTTGGATATAGATAAGAAGTTTATAAAAAGAGGGTGCAATTAGTAAGATTAGCAAAAGGAGGAGAAAGGGAGTTAAGGAATGTGGTATCCCACTCCATAACAGACTGTCAGCAATCCATTGGCCAGAGGAATCAAGCTGTTCTTTACATGGAGATCTGTCTGGAGTTGTTGAGTCTTGTCTTTTACTATACCTGATTGGTTGACATAGAACCAACATTCCTCCCTGAAGAAGAGGCAATGGCCACCCTTCTCCATTGTTAGTAAATCTAATCCTTGCCAATTTTATAGAACCACAGTAGTCAGAGAGGCTATTTGTCTCTGAATGGTGAGAATAGTCTGAACCACCTGTTGGAGGTCCTGGATGAACTGAGAGGAAAATTGATAGTAGATAGTTAAAGGAGATGGTCCCACTGTCCCAGCGGAGATGCCAATAGTTATACTGTTAAGTCCAACTTAACAACAGGGATTCTATTTCTACTCAGGATGTCTTATTTCATCTCAAGGATGTAAAAATCACTAAAGTTATTTCAGTCCAGGTGTCTCGAAAGTGGCCAAACCACAAATGTTCTACCCTCCTCCTGGTTGGTTGGCTCCAAGCAAGGGCAAGACCACAAACTTCAAAGACTCCCTGATAGGCTAGAAGTTTGTCACCATGGAAAGTCCCCAACAATCACTTCACCATGTTCTGTTATGATTTGATGTAATTATGGTGTTGTCTCCTTGTGATTTTTTTTCCTTTAAAATACTTGCTTTCCTCCACTCCAAGGACTTTTGACTTTTTTTCTGAGGACCCAAGAAAGCAGAAACTGGATGTAGTACTACTTCTAGGGTCGAGGGAGACAAGAGACTTCTCAACCCCTCACCTGGCCTCCAGGCTCCCATGTTGGAAGTGTCTGAGGCATCAAGTTTCTGGGACTTAGCTGAAGAAGCAGTTGTTCTGCTTGGCTCTGAGTGGTTTTGCTTTCAGTAATGCCTTCCTTGTCTTCTCCCTTCTTGTCAGTGCCTCTGGCGTCTTTCTTTGAGGTGAGCTCCCAGGCTATCTGGGCTCTGTCAATTTGGTTTTTTGGTTTCACTTTGCTTTCTCACTGTTAGTCTCTTACTTTGAGATTATGAGTTAGGCTCCATCCTCAGGTCCTAACTCTCCCCTAGACCTTATTCTACATCACCTCAAGAACTTTAAGAATAAAGTCCAGGAACCTGGGGGTTCTATTTTCCCTGGAAAACTCCGTACCCTCTTTCAAGTCAAATGGCCAATATTCAGGGTTGAATGGCCTCCCAAGAGCAATTTTATCCTTTCCATCTCTCTTGCAGTTCATGTAAAATTCTTTGGTCGCCTTGTAGCCTGGGTGCTTCTCCTTGAAGATTCCCCCCCCCCCAAATGGCTTAGGCCACTCCTCCAAAGTCAGCCAGAGGAAACTGACCAATCAAGTCTGTTTGACCAGTCAAGTCTTCGGCTCCTATCCTGCCTCCCTCCATGAAAGACTCCTTGGAGGCCTTAGGAGTCCTCCCCCTTCCCATGTGTCTCTGCCACCAGAGGCTCTGGCCACCAGAGCTGCCCAGACTTCTCTCCTATCCCATCCCCCATTTACACACAGGTCCCCTTGGTTGAGGAAAAGCCAGCGTTCTCTTCAGCTCTCTTCTCTTCTCCCCTTCTGATCTGTGGGGGTCCTCTTTCCTTCTCAGCCCGTTGGCCATCACATCGAGAAGGTAAAGAGGCAGAAGGGGTGACAGAAAGTTTTGTATGGGGCCCATGAGCATGAATGGAGACAGCACTACAGATTTCAGTGACTCAGCTCAACTTTATTCCAGAGTATAAGGAATATCTAAGACTGGGGGACCTGAGGACAAACCCTAATTTGCATGAAGTGGCATGCTCTTATCACAGGCTTGTTATGGTGCAGTAGGGTCCAGAACGCCTAGCCCAAGTCTTCTTAGCAAGAATCTGAGTTGATGGTCAAGCTAAAGATGAAGCAGACATCTGATATAGAAGCAGCTTTCAGATAAGGTCAGCCTTCCAGGCCCAGGAACATTCAAATAAGGGTGTGTAGAGAACAGGAAGCCCTGCTGGGAAGGGAGAGAGTTTCCACACTGCTGAGCTTAGAGAAAGCTGCCAGGCTATGGCAGCTTGGAAAGTCAACCTAGGAAAAGGCATGACTCATTCCTTCATAGTGACCCCCAAAAGCCCTTATCCCCTCCTGGGACAAGACCTGATGCACAAATTGAGAACTCAAATTATCCTCAAAGATGATACATAAACACAGACTTCCTTGGAATCTTTGTAATCTTTGTTACTCTTCTCCTGGAGAAATAATACCTCCTTAATTCACCAGGAGAGGGAGCCAAGAGATGCCCCTATTAAAGAAGCTCCAATGAAAGTTTCAACTCGTGTGGGCAGTCTATAACCCACCCGGATTAGCAGAGCATTTAACTCCAATCATAGTGCAGCTGAAGCAAGGAGCAGTACCTGTCTGGGTTAAGCAATACCCGATGTTATCTGAGGCACAAAGAAGCATCAGGACTCACATTACTTTAGGGAGGTGGAAGTTCTGGTCCCCTGTCAATTTCCCTGGAACACTCCATTCCCCCAAAGCCAGCGATTTCAGGTCCATCCAGGACCTGAGGGAGGTAAACAAATGTGTCGAGGACATTTACCCCATAGTGACAAACTCTTGCATTTTGCTTAGCCTATTAGCTCCAGCAAAGTAAGTAGATACAGTCTTGGACCTGAAGGATGCTTTTATTCAGTATCCCTTTGGTCAAGCAGAGCTAGCCCCTGTTTACCTTCAAATGAACCAACCTGGATACTGGATCCCATGGCCAGTTGACCTGGAGTTGACTACCACAAGGATTTAAGAACTCAACAACCCTCTTTGATGAGTCCTTCCATGAAGACCTGGTGAGTACTGTCTCAGACTCTCCAGGTCACACCTCTGTAGTATGTGAATGACTTGCTGATAGTGGGTGAAGATGAAACTTTCTGTCAAGAGGGCCACTGAAGGACTATTGCAGACCCTACCAACTCTGGGATACCAAAGTCAGCCAGCATGACTCAGTTTTGCATCAGGACAGCTACCT